CCATTGTTTTTTGATGTTTTTATGTTAAAATCGCTCCGAACACTAAGCTTTTGGAAGGATTTCGTCTTGCGCGCGCGAATGTCCACTTTACCTTATTTTTTGCAAGGGATTCTTGAAATTTGATTATATTAGAACAAGAAATGTCATTTTATAGTGTTTTTTGCAAGGGAAAACGGATTACAACAAAACAACCGGATCTTGATCACATCGTATTACCTGAGGCTTCCTCACGAAAATGATGAAAATGTAGCTGCGGCCTAGGCGGCGCAGGGGGGCCGTGCACCAGGGGGCCCAACAATAATTATTCTTTAGAATTAATAATGTTCAACAACAACAACAACAACAACAACAACAACAACAACAACAACAACAACAACAACAACACCAGCGTGACACCGCCCCCCGTGCACTGCCCTCCCCACCCTGCCCCCTCCGCCCCGACCACTTCACTTCGGCGTCGCACCGCCCGCACCGTCCCGCCCCCCCGACTCTTTCCCCCTCCCCAGCCCCGCCCAGTGCCCTCTGCACCCCCCTCCCCTCCGCCCCGACCTTTTTATTTCGGCGTCGCACCGCCCCCACCGTCCCGCCCCCCGACTCTTTCCCCCTCCCCAGCCGCCCAGTGCCCTCTGCACCCCCCCCCCTCCGCCCCGACCTTTTTATTCGGCGCGCACCGCCCCCACCGCCCCGTCCCCCGACCCTTCCCGCCTCCCCAGCCGCCCAGTGCCCTCTGCACCCCCGCCCACTTCCGCCCCGACAATTTCATTCTTGCGTCGCACAGCCCCACCACCCCGCCCCCCCGACCCTCCCCCCCCTCCCAGCCGCCCAGTGCCCTCTGCACCCCCCCCTCCGCCCCGCCCCCTTCGTTTCGGCGTCGCACCGCCCCACCGCTCCGCCACCCCGACCCCCCCCCCTCTCCAGCCGCCCAGTGCACTCTTGCCCCTCGCCCCCCTCCGCCCTGACCTTTTATTTAATCGCTTCGCTCATGCCGCCGGCCCTGGAGCCCTCTTTAGGGCCTCTTGGGGGCCTCTTGGGGACCTCTTGGGAGTCTCTTGGGGCTCCTTGGCGGCGTTTTGGAGCCCCCCAGGGCCTCTTGGGGGGCTCTTGGGGGTAGTCGATTGCGGCTCCCCCCTCGGAGGCCACGATCCTCGTGAGGGGTGTCGAAAAATACCCTCCCCTGGAGTGGTCTGGTGGCTTCTCCCGGGCTTCTCTCGGGACCTTGCCGGGGTACTTTTCGTCCGGGGGCCCCCAGGGTCCGCTCCGCGCGCGCGAACTAGAAATATTGTTAACAAGTTACCGGAGATCTTAGCACGCCTCTGGCCCGTTGGGCCGGCGAATTTCGGTGTCGCACCGCCCCCCAGCCGCCCAGTGCCCTCTTGCACCTCGCCCCCCGCCGCCCCGACTACTTGATTTCGGCGTCGCACCGCTCCCACAGCCCCGCCTTCCCGACCCCCCCCTCCCCAGCCGCCCGGTGCCCTCTTGACCCCGGTCCCCTCCGCCCCGACCTTTTGATTTCGGCGTCGCTCCACCCCCACCGCCCCGCCCCCCCGACCCGTCCCCCCTCCCCAGCCGCCCAGTGCCCCCTGCACCCCGCCCCCCTCCGCCCCGACCACTTTATGTTGGCGTCGCACCGCCCCCACCGCCCCGCCCCCCCCGACCCTCCCCCTCTCCAGCCGCCCAGTGCCCTCTTGCACCTCGCCCCCCTCCGCCCCGACCACTTTATTTCGGCGTCGCACGCTCCCACCGCCCCGCCCCCCGTCCACCCAGTGCCCTCGTGTACCCCGCCCCCTTCTGACCCGACCACTTTATTTCCGAGTCGGAGGCCCCCCACCGCCCCGCCCCCCCGACCCTCCCCTCCCCAGCCGCCCAGTGCTCCTGCACCCCGCCCCATCCGCCCCGACCACTTTATTTTGGCGTCGCACCGCCGACACCGCTTCGGCTCCCCGACCTGCCCCCCTCCCCAGCCGCCCAGTGCCCTCGGCCCTCCGAGCCCCCCCCTGCCCCGACCACTTCATTTCGGCGTCGCACCGCCTCCGCCGCCCCGCCCCCGGACTCTTCCCCCTCCCCAGCCGCCCAGTGCTCTCTGCACGCCGCCCCTCCCCGCCCCGACCACTGCATTTCGGCGTCGCACCGCCCCCACCGCCCCGCCCCTCCCGCCCCTCCACCCACCCACCCACGCTAACCACCACCACCAGCGTGACCCCCTTCCGCCCCGACCACTTCATTTCGGCGTCGCACCGCCGCCCGTCCAGTGCCGTTTCTGACCCGCCCCCCCCCTCCGCCCCGACCAGTTTATTTCGGCATCGCACCGCCCCCACCGTCCCGCCCCCACGGCCCTTTCCCCCTCCCCGCCCGCCGAGTGCACCGCCCCCCTCCGCCCCGACCACTTTATGTTGGCGTCGCACCGCTCCCACCGCCCCGCGCCCCGACCCCCTTCTCCGATTTCTCGTCCCTTCTCTCCCCCACCTCCTCCTCCTCCTCCTCCTCCTCCTCCTCCTCCTCC